TCAACTTTTTGTACCGAAATAAAGTATGACCCTGTATATGGATTTATACTATTTTTTGATGAACAACAATTATTTTCTATTTTTTGGCAACAATTTCAATATTTTGTTGATTTAACTTACATATTCAACCGCGATCACCCTGTAAGTACGATTTTTTTTCCCTTTGCATATAGTACAAGGGGTATATTCTTAATCTAAAACAGTATGTCAAAATATTTAATATAAGATATTTCTCTTGAAAATATCAACTTATATCAGTATATATTTATTGTTTAAAATTCATATATTCATATATTCATATATTCATATATTCATATATTAAGTTATATATATAAGTTATATAAAACGTCGCTATTAGTTGAGCAATGAATACAGTGCTAACGTTAATATATTATTAATTTCAAACATTTTTCCTTATTTAATTGTATTTTAAGTTCCATTGATTTCAGTTTAGATTAAATACAGGGTTAACATTTTTATTCATAAATTATTGTATATTAAATTTCTTATTTTTTTATATTGTAAATGATGGAAACCTTTTGATTATTTTAAATTTATATTTATGTTGAGGTTAAGTTGAGTAGCGAAAGCTAGACTTCGCCTCATGATGTTTATGTGCATTGTATATTACAAGCAAATAAAGGCAATTTATTATTATATTATTATTATTATATTTGGAAAACTAGTCATAGGATCTAATTTTACCAATAAGAATTTTGAACGAGTACATCGAGTATTATACGATATTAAATATTGAGAGACTTTGACGGTGATATTTTTTTTTTTTTTCGGTATTTTAGCTATTTTTGTTCGGTGGGAATACCTACTTTGACCAAAAAAGATTTGCCGAATCATTAATCACCCTTTAAGGTACAATATTTTAATTATAGTAGTTAAGTATGTATTTTGACTACACAAAATGAGCAAAAAACTTCCAAAAATATTTAAGGGTGATTTATGGTGTCCATTTTAAAGAACTATGGATTTCTAACTTCAACACCCTGTATCCCAAAATCTAGTCATAGGATACGATTGGCCCCATGGACACTTTTGATAGGGACATCAAGTTATTTAACATATCAAAAATTCAGACATTTTGACGGTTCTCCCGTTTGCATAAGAAAAGTGCGTGGTCCTTTAATGAATAAGCGGAAATAATAGATAATAGGATTATAGGACTATACTTTTCCAATGCATACTTAATAAAATTTCATGCTACCCGCACTAAATCGGTTGTTTCCATAAACAGAAATGATTTGTGGCTGCAGCAAGATTGTGCGCCCCCACATTATGCTGTCTTGATCAAAAACTATTTAGACAACGTCTTTCCAGATTAGTGGATTGGGCCAAGAGGATCAATGAAATGGCCATTTAGGTCACCAGATTTACCTCCTCTTATATTTTTTGCAGATATTTAAATTATAAAGTATACAAAAATAGATCACAAAATATATCGATGTGGCACAAATAAATCCAGAAGTTATTTAAAAAGTTGGAAAAGACGTATTTGCTCGTTTGTCTCTCTGTATTTGAGTTAAAAGTCCTTAATTTGATTATTTGCTTTTTGTTTTGAATTTGCTTGAGTTTGAAAAAGAAGACTATTAATTGTAATATTAAAAATAGATTGGATATATTATTGAAATAGTATTTCAAACGATTTATCACATAAACCTTTTTTTTTTAAATCGTTTGGTCATACAGATTACCAGATGAATAAAAGAAATATCTGATAGAATTCGTTTTCGAAAATAAAAATTTACGGGTTTCAAGATTTAATGCAGAAGTCAATGAGTTACGAAATAATGAATGACTTCTTTTCAATTAAACCATAACGTATAGAAAACAGAAAAGCAGCGCAATTTTTTAAAAGCTTACCATTATTTTCGTGTTGTTTGTCTCTTCAACGCAATGAACTTGGCGAAGTTTGATGCCGCCTCCACAACTTACGGAGCACGACCCCCACTCGCTCGCATGCCATCTGAAACAAGAAAACTTTTTACAAACTTCGCCCTCTTCCTTTGAACTTTTGTTTATTTTTTGGAGTTGTTAAAATGTAAATAGTAGAAACGGTATACTTTGGCTTTGGTCAGGAATGCTTGTGATTATGTCTGTACTCTGATTGAGGGTTTAAAAATAGTTATTTATGTATCAAACAAATTATGATGGTGTTAATTACCACTTACACTCAGGATAGTAACCCCATTGCTCTTATCCACGTGATAGGGTAAATGCGATAGTTGTTGGCCAGATGATAGTTATTGGCCACTTAGCTTAATTTTTATTAAGGTTCGGTTTAAATTTATCTAAATTATAAATTATTCAATAAAATCCGGCAACATCTTATTGCATCATCAACCATGCTTGTACCCACCACATTATAGTATTTGGCTTTATTTTGAAGGATAAAGTTGTGCTTTCGCAGCAGAGTTAAATATATACGAAAATTACAGTTTTTCTTAAGAAGGTGCTGCATTATAGTTATATTTATTGTAGGTTTTATTTATATTTGACAGTTTTGGTATATTATTGATAATTTATTGGTAAACTTTCGTATTTTTATTTAATATTGTGTAATGTTTATATTTTTCCCGGTTTTTTTTGAGTGGCCAACTACTGTAGCGTAGATGAGCACGTGAAATATTTATTGGGTGGCCAATAATTGTAACTAATCGGAATATAGTTTTTTGTTAAAAAACAACATTTTCTATTGAAATTTATGATTTATTTCATATTTTGTTTATGATTTCTAAAAATAATGAATTTTAAACAGTAGTTGGCCGGGGTGTCAATTACTATCTTATATGGGTGGCCAATATCTGTAACAGGAATAATTTAGTTATAAAATATGTAACGTTTTACGGAGCGGTAATAAACGTTATGACCCACCTCTCGTAGATTTTATAGATTGTTTGAGTTAGCCAATTGAGTAAACAATGACTTGTAACGTATTATAGTTGGCTACTTGTTTGGCTCATGGTTTTGTAGAGGTAGACGTCAATTTTTTAAACTGTTTTGTCGTAAAGAAAATTACACCATACATTAAAATATCACTTTTTCTATTCCGGTAAAAAACTAATATTTTAGATTTCGTTTAAATTTTGCAAACAAAATTCAATTAGACTGTTTTTTGTAGAAATGCCGAAAGTCAATAAAGATGAAAAATATTTTAAAAGTTATACGGAACAGGATATCCAGAAAGCTTTAGATGCAATTAAAAATGGCGTTAGTCAAAGAAAAGCGGCTGCATAATTTAAAGTTCCTAGAGCAACCTTGCAGTTTCGTACAAGTGAGAAATTTAAAGAAAAAGTTACGCATGGACCAGATCCTATATTAAGTAACTAAGAGGAAATATTTTTAACCAATTGGATCCTAGAATGTCAACGAAAAGGATTTCCACTTCGAATCGAGAATGTTCAAGCTTCAGTGAAATCATTTTTAGATGAAAATCCACGAAATAATCCGTTCAGGGAAAATACACCTGGAAGAGGGTGGTTCAAGGCATTTTTAAAGCGCCATCCTTCTACAACCTTAAGAACTCCAGAGGCTATAACGACAGCAAGCAGTAATGTTTCAGAGTCAGATATTAGAAATTGGTTTTCTCAAATACATTCCTATTTAAAAGAAAAAGGATATGATCATATACTAAACGATCCATCCAGAGTATACAACGGCGATGAAACTTGCTTTCTTCTCTGTCCCAAAAATAAGAAGGTTTTAGCTGCGAAAGGATCAAAAAATGTTTACCAAACTGAACATGATTCAAAAACGAATTTAACAGTTATGTTTAGTTTCCTCGGCCGTCGGTGATATAAGCCCACCAATGATAATATATCCTTATAAAAGGGATCCTGCAAATATTGTTAATTCTGTCCCTAAAAAGTGGGGAATAGGTACGAGTGATACAGGGTGGATGAAAGAAGCAACATTTCATGAGTATATTGGCAACGTCTTCTATAAAAGATTTGATAGAAAGGGGCGTCCAGTTTCCAATAATATTATTCGTAGATGGGCATAAAACCCATAATACATATGAAACGAGTAATTCATGTAAAAAATGAAATATAATATTAATTGCACTTTATCCAAATTCTACTAGGATCTTGCAACCTGCCGATGTTTCGACATTCAAGCCATTAAAGACTTTTTGGACGAAGTGTGTGTCAAAGTTTCATAGAGAAAATCCAGGAAATACTGTCACAAAGGAAACATTTTGCTGCTATCCTAAAAGGTGTTTTAGAAAATTTAAGACCAGATGTAATAAAACAAGGATTTAAAAGTTGTGGTATATTTCCTTGGAATGCCTCGGCTATAGATTACTCAAAATGTCTAGGTAAAAATATTAAAAAAAAAAAAGAAATTTGAAGACGGCATAACTATTACATTTTCAAAATTTAAAAGTATAATCGGAGAAGACAGGCTACGATTATTTGAGAATATGAATGAGGTAACTTATGAAGACGAAAACCTATTTAAACTTTACCAAATATATAAAGAATTTATGAAGACCAATAGTGAACAAGAAAATTGGAATAAAAATGTGTATTCTGAAGATGTTGAGCAAGAATTCGAAGATAATTTTATTATAGAAACTATGCCAATCATTTTAGATGATAGCAAGAATACAGATATTGAAAAAATAGCAGAAGACATAAAGGATGATTCAAATTATAATTTAAATTTAGACAAAAATACAAATATGGAACAGTTAGACCATCACTTAGACTTTGAACCCTCTACTTCTTTCGCCATAGAAAAACTATTTTATTTATCCCAAAACGCCAGAGAGAAAAGGAAAAAGACAATCAGAAAAAGTGTCCTTGTATTGACTTCTTCAGTTTGGAGAAAAACATCAAGAAGAAAAGATCGAAAAAAAGAAATTACAAGACGAACTTAAACAAAAAAGAAAGGAAGAGAGACTTAATAAAACAAAACAGAAAACAGACATAAAAGTGAAACAACTAATTAATGGCAAACAGCCAAAAAAAAAGTCAGCAAAAAAGATGAATTCTGCTATCAACTCAAATAAAGAAAATGTTGGCGATGTTGCGAATGATGTGTTGCATAATAATATTATTGATGCTACTAACAACGAATCCTTTGTTGCTAGGGGTGAAATAACATCAACAATATTGAACAATGGTGTTAAAGTTCATTTCCCTCGGGCTTATTCCCAGCCACAATTCTTTAAAGTTGAGGCACCTGATGTGAAAATTGTACTCGAAAACTGTTCTCCAGAGAATCGTTGCGAAATAATATCAACAAAACTAAGAAGTGGCATCAAAATTCATCTTCCACTCATCGAATCAAATACCTTGTTAACATCTGCTACAAATATTAAATCTGTAAATGATGATTTTTTTTCAAACCATGAGGAAGTCGATATTGAAAATAAAACTATTTGTGCAAATACTGAATCTGAAGATTCTTTAGTTCCTATTGATGATATCACCACTAAAGTTAAAACTATAAAAAGAAATTTATTTTTCGATGGCAAACCACAAACCGATAAAAAAATTAAATTAGTATCCAACATTTTACTTCGGAAGTCAGATGAAGAAACGTTTAAAAATGAAAAAGTCACCAAAGGACTTTGTTACAATTGTGTAAAAAATATTACATCGTCCAGATGTGGAGTTCGATGTTTAACTTGTCTTCGCACATTTCACTTCATATGTGCAAACACAATCCAGGATGGATTAAAATCAAAAACTTTTAAGTGTAAAAGTTGTGTGTCGAGTGATCCTTAATATTAATATTTTTTTTTTTGTTCTAATGATCTCATATTTAATAAAATATTTTATAAAAAGAACCTAATACTTATTTTGCATATGGCCAATAACTGTGTATCTAAGGTGACAATCACTGTGTTCTAGTGGCCAATAACTTGTGTATTTTTTTATTCATAATATTTTTTTATATATTTGTGTAGTTCAGATGGCTAATATTTTGGTCAAACTGAAAAGTTGACATTCCAATATATTTAAAACAACATTTTTAAAAATATTGTATTAAATGGTCTTAAATGAGAATAGCATGAAGACAAGAACTATCCTTAACTGGCCAATATAAAATGTACTTGATCAGAATTATTTAAATTTATAATTACTTAATGTGATTACATTTTGATTTTTACCATCACCTTTCATCGTAAATAACAACAAAGAAGGCCTGTTAACTTTTGTGGACCATATGAATAATCAGTTAAATGTAAGTATATGTAGACTACAAACAGAAGTAAACAGTAGACAGTACACAGTTAGTACATCAGACATTTTTTCAATTAGGCTAGGAGATAGGGGTAGGCTGTAGGCTAGGTGCTAGGCCTTTAGGGCTACCACCATACATCAATTAACATTAACATCAATTTATTAACATTTTTTTAATATACATTTATATAAAATTACTTTACAATTAGTTAGCGTCTCATAAAATGGCTACCACTCTAGGCATGGTTGCCTGTCCTGTGTGAAGCAATTTTATGAGGCGCTTTGTTTACAGTATTTAAGGGTATTATATAGTGTTTTATATCTATTTTTCATGTATAAAGACATTTTGAATTGTGATTTTTTCAGAGAGGTAATGATGGCAGCTTCGGTGAGGGGTGAGAATTAGTTATTAATTTATGGTTCAATTATCTTAAATAAATTTTAACAGCTGTTATTATCATGAGAACATCAGAAATATATAAGGATGATTGAGTATATACTTTCTTACTTCTATTTTGTATGTTTTATATATTTTTATTTCTTTTATATGTTTAGGTAGTACCTTAGATAAAAGAGACCAGAGATATAACATACACCGGTTTTAAACCTGCGCAATTGTTGCCAATTTCTAAAGAAGGGTTAACGGAGTGGGGGAACTGGGCGGCGACACGCGGCGACCCGAACTCTGTGACAGGACCGGACTTTGTTTATTAGCATCTTAATGAACTATTAGGTTTATTTAAAAGGTGTTTAATCGAATTTTGTATTATGAAATCAAATTATCGTGATTTTTTAATATCAAACAGATGCCATGACATTTTATGTAAAGAGAAGACCTTTTATAGAATATTTCGTTAGCGTTTATTTACTACGGACTTTTCTGCAAGAGATTACAGTAAAATGTTGAAATAGAATATATTGTTAATAGAGCAAAAAATGTTACTCATTGTCAACGAGTATTATAAAAATAGCATGTGCGCAGGCTAATACTGCAAATCTACCCTTATGAGTTGAACATTATATTTTTTCTACGGCTATTACATATTATTAAAAATTAGTCAAAATGAGAAAATGCTGTTTTGTATTGTAACTTCAGAAAAAGTATATTAAGGCTTCTTTCTTTAAGAATATTAATTATTATAAAGGATGAGTCACATAAAACTCTAGAAATGCATATGTCTGAAACCAGATAACATTTTAAAATTTAAATCTATTAAAAGTAATTTGGTCGCTAGGGATGAGTGATTATCGAAATAAATTATCGATAATTGAAAATAATCGATTATATTCGATCAATAGATTATTTTCAAACGATATATTTTTTGTCATTTCCTTTAAAATCGACTACTTGATTATCTTTGAAAAATCAAAAAATAATCGATTAATTAAAAAGCCAATTAACCGATAAATCAGTGTTTACAAAATATAATATGAATAGAATTATCGTTTGTTTTAAATAATCGATTATTTTCAAATAAACCATTTTTTTCGTCCATGGAAACAGATTATTCGATAATCTTTGAAAAATCGAAAATAATCGATTAATCAAAAATAATCAATTAATTAAAAAGTCGATTAACTGATAAATCGATTTAAAAAAAAAACAGAATGATCGATTATATTAAATAATTAATTATTTTCGATCAATCGATTATTATCAATAATCTATTTTTATTGTATTTCCTTTAAAATCGATAATTCGATTATCTTTGAAATATCAAAAATAATCAATAATTCCAAAATAATCGCCTAATCTAAAATAACCAATTAATTAAGAAGCCGATTCTATGATAAATCGATTTTCCAAAAAATAAAACGAATTATCTATTATTTTCTAATAATCCTTTTTTCATATTTCCTTTGAAATTGATTATTCGATTATCGAAAATAATTGATTATTAAAAAGCTGATTATCCAATAAATCGATAATTTTAAAAAAATAACCAAAATATCGATTATGTAAAATAACCGATTATATTCAATCGATTATTTTTCATATAATATCTTTGAAAAATCGAAAATCAAATAATTAAAAAATCGATTAAACGATAAATCGATTATTTTGAATAAATCTACTTTTTTTGTATTTCCTTTAAAATCGATTAATACATTATCTTAAAAAAAAAAACGAAAATAATTTATTAAAAACAGCGGATAAATCGATTTTCATTAAAAAATATCAGAATGATCGATAAATCGATTATTTTTGTAACCCCTATCGGTCGCTTGCTTTTATCTGAGCATTTAGCTCCAAAATTTAGAGATTCGGATTTTTTGATCCAGTTATCTTTGAAATCGCATTCGCTTGTATAATAAATAAATATTGCTAAATTTTGGATTTTTTTTAGTAAACGAAAATTATGTTCGAGTTGTTTAGGGGTTTGTAATGTAACATTTATTAACGTGACTAAGGGTCGATTCCACCGTTGTGTTAAACGAAGTTTAAAATGACATTTTTACATTAACACTGTCATTTTAATCTCCGTTTAACACAACGGTGGAATCGGACCTAACTCCTGTAACTTTTTTTTTGCTTATACTAGATTACTTTGTTTTAAGACTGAAAATTCAATGTCACTTTCGATTTGACCGCAAATAAGATGAACCTTGAAATTTTAAGTAGGTCATCCTGTATTTCATCTAATATTCTTATAAAAATAAAATTTAGCTAGCATCTATGATTCTTTACCTCTTATTTATTTACCAAAAAGGGCTAAAAACTACCTTTAGAAAACATTCTTATAAAACTACTTTTTAAATACAAAATTTCGTTAGCAATAATGCCTATTTACTATTTATTTAAATTAAATGTCCAAAATTGTACCCTTTTGTAAATTTATGTAAGTAATATGAAATCTGATTTCTGATGCTTAATATTTATTGAAACCCCTTAATGCGGATCTGAAGTATTCAGCCCAGAGAATCATGGCGCTTTATGTCAAAACGTTAATAAATATTTACCGCTGAAAACGAATATATTCATAACAGTAGTACTTGTATTATAAATACATACAATTTTTCAAGATACATCGTGACATTTTGAACTTGAAATTGAATAACTAGAACACTTTAAATTGCTAAAATACCAACAAATAAATCAAAAAACAGCTGTCAATGGTGATTAAACTCAGGTGGAGGTGTGATCGCTGAATGGAAATCGGAGCAATTCGGGTGGCGTCGTGCAACAATGATTTTCAATTGGTGGGTTACTTTGGCTTAAAATAGACAACATGCGCAGTGTGCAATGTTACATCTTCGGTCTCTTTAATCTAAGGGTAGTACATTAAATAATTTCGGCCCAAAGAAAAGAAAGGAGTTCTGAGTAGCAGTTTTTTTAAATAAATCTGTTGTTACATTTAGATTCAGTTTAGAACGTGTTTCTTTTATGTTTTGTTGAAGGCATTTAATTTGTTGGTCAAACATTCTTAGGAGACATTGGTAAATATAACTTGACCTAATATTTAAAAGATTAGTTTCTTGATATAAGTTTTGTGTGGAATAAAGCCTCTCTTTTTTAAAAATTATTTTTAGTATTATATTTTGTGATATTTGCAGTGGATTGAGTGTTCTTTTGAATGTTGCGCCCCAGGCAGTAATGCAATACTTAATAATTGATTCAACCAGAGAGTTGTACATCATAATTAAATTTTTTTTTAGTTAATATATCACGCATTTCATAGAATTTGTGCATCAAAATTCGGATTCTTTTTGTTACATATCCAATATGCTCAGACCATCTTAAATTTTGATCTATTATTACTCCAAGGTATTTTAGTGAATTTGTTTTTTGTATAGATTGGGGTCTATTCTGTAACAATTCCTTTATATTTAACGGCCTTTAAAAATATTGGCGGCCTTTAAAAATATGTTCGTATTCGTTAATTTACTTCTGTCATTATATAAACAGATTTCTTTAAGATAGTCTTCTAATGTATTTTAAAGATCCGTTTAGATAATGACAGAAGTAAAAAAGAAAATATTTTTAAAGGCCATTAAATATAAAGGAATTGTTACAGAATAGACCCCATTGACAGTTACAATATTTTTCTTTATTACACTGTGATTTGTGGAATTTAATTATTAAGTTGTTTGGTTGATCTACTACTGTTGGGGAAAACGTAATATATTTAGTTTTATTAACATTAACATTAAGCTTATTATTATTTAGCCAGTTATGGATTTTTTTCAAGTTAGTTTCCGCTATTTTCAGGGCTTTTTCCCATGTTGTTTTAGTAAATATTAGTGCTGTATCATCGGCGTAACAAACTATATGACCTTTAAAATTGTCAATTTTGGTTATATTATTGATATATACAAGAAATAGTATTGGTCCTAATATGGTCCCCTGCGGTACTCCAGTTAGAACATTACAGTTGGAACTTATTACATTGCCAATTTTAAATCTTTGTATTTTATCAGTCAAGTAGTTTTTCATTAAATCCGAAGCTATACCTCTAATGCCATAATTATTTAATTTTTGTAATAATAAATTGTGATCCACAGTATCGAATGCTTTAGCAAGGTCTAAAAAAACTGCTATA